GCGCACATATAATAAATCGAGGCGTGGAAGTACAGAGAAGCAATAAGAATCATAAAAAGTGAGATAATTTAACGTTAAATAGCAGCGCACATACTACCGAACATATTTCTAATGCGTCGGTTTGTGACCCTCTCGCCACGTAGTGTTAAGCGAGATGGGAACTTGTGGCTAGGCAGTAACCTGAGTACGGCAGTAGTGCAGTACTGCAGTCTGCAGTAGTACTAGTAGTAGTACTAGTAGGCCTAGGGGCCCTAGCTCTAGTACTAGAGCCCGCGTTCATTAACTGCCGCAGGGTTATAGAACATTGTCAGCTCGATTTCGCTACTGCATTTGGTCCCGATTGGCGATTGGTTCCACGAAAAATGGCTCAGAAAACGCAAAATGATCGGGCTTTTTAACACTTATTTATCTACATGAACATCTCACCTATCTTTTTGAACACTTTCCACAACTTTACACCATGTATTTATGCCTTTAATAGCTTTATTCTTCACAAGTCAGCACTAATGGCTGTAGCATTTGAAATATTGTGGCGTGCGAACGCATGACGTCACCGGATATGTAAGCAAAACACATATGGCAGTTATGGTGACGTCACGCGTTTGCACGCCACAATATTTGAAATGGTACAGCCAGTAGTGCTGACTTGTGAGGAATAAAGCTATTAGTATTAAAGGCATAAATACATGGTGTAAAGTTGTGGAAAGTGTTGAAAAAGATAGGTGAGATGTCCATGTAAATAAATAAGTGTTAAAAAGCCCGATCATTTTGCGTTTTCTGAGCCATTTTCTGTGGAACCAATCGGGACCAAATGCAGTAGCGAAATCGAGCTGACAATGTTCTATAGCCCTGTGGCAGTTAATGAACGCGGGCTATAGTACTAGAGCTAGCCTAGGCTATATTACTAATACTATTAGTATTACTAGTAGTAGTAATAGTACTAGTAGGGTGCCTATTAGTATTAATATTATGGCCGTGGCTACGTGACCGTGGCTATGCCAAGAACAGTGGCTACGCGTGCGGAACCGGTCACCTAGCCTCCAGGCTACGCATCCGGACATCCACTCACAGTGATCGCGCGACTCGCGTACACGCATGATTGCGCAACGGTACGCTCTGCTGATTGCCGAGTGTGTGTGTGTGTGTGTGTGCGTGCGTGCGTGCGTGCGTGCGTGCGTGCGTGCGTGCGTGCGTGCGTGCGTGCTGTGTGAGAGAGAGAGAGCAGAGGTGTGTTGAGAGAATGATAGTAGCTGTGCGAGTGTGTGTGTGAAAGAGAGAGAGAGAGAGCGAGAGAGGACGGATGACAAGATAGACGGCAAGCAGGGCAATATATATATTTATAATTATTTAAATTTTTGGCAATCACACGCGTACGTTGCGCATTCATGCGTGGTAAACGCGAGTCGCGGCGAATCACTGTGAGTGGATTCTCGGCATGCGTAGGCCTGGAGGATAGGCGACTCGGTTCCGACGTGCGTAGCCACTGTTCGTGGCACTGAATCTAAACCAGACCATATTCTGTCCCATCTTAAACATGGTTTTTCTCATGGTTTTTCTACTGTTACCCAGTTAATGTTCTTCATCATTCATGATTAAACATGCAAGTCTTGGCAAGTCTCAACAGGTTGATGCACTGTTTCTAGATTTCAGCAAGTCCTCTGTTAGACATAGGGTTCCTCATGTTCTCCTAATTTCTAAACTTGGTCACTTGGTATTGGATATTAATTTGCTACCTTAGTCTGGATTTCTGACTTTCTGAAGGATAGGTCACAAATTGGCTGTCATGTCAGATGTGGCTGCTGTCACATCAGGTATACCCCAATATCTGTACTTGATTCATCGTTGTTTCCTATCCATTATAAAATGTTTTTTTAGCCGAAACTTTGTTGGTCGAATCTTTATTGGCCGGGAACCGAACATTATACGTGAGATATTCTTTAACTCCAATGTAATTATTGTTCAGGGGTATGACGGTTACGTCGGGCAGTGCTGAACTTACCAAGGATGACAACAATCTCATTGGTATCAGCATAGGTGGTGGCGCCTCATTGTGCCCTTGTTTGTATGTTGTACAGGTAATCCTATACACGGTAGTCGTGATATTGTTTATGTTGTCTGTATGTTGTACAGGTTATAGCCTATAATCTGTAGCAGTGATATGCGTAGTTCAAACTTTCGATTTTTTTTATAGAAATGCAACCCTGTGACGTACTTGCGTGTGAAGAACGTTGTTTCCATTCATTGTCAGGTGTTTGATAATACGCCGGCAGCGAGATGGCGAAAGATCTGGCTGGCCACGGCAGAGTGAAATCACGGGCGTCAACGGCAAGTCCGTCCGTGGCCGAACCAAGGTCGAAGTGGCCAAGGCGATACAATCAGTCCAGGTGAGGTCATCTCAATGAGCCGGTCTTTACTGCAACTATTTATGTTGCAGCAACAGTATTGATAGATCATGTTTATTATAGTGAGATGAACTGGATACTGTAACAGGGGTAAACAAATTTACCCTTGTTATGCCCTAGTTATAAGGCCTAAGATAAAATATTGCTTGTTTCTCCTTTATCGGACCGGACTGTTGCCTAAACGGGGTCCGCTACTCGACACCATTTTATTGGCCGATTAAAAACAAAACAAAAAACTATTTCGTTTCGCCAAAAAAAAAATCAAATTCGTTCCGCAAAAACATATACGACAAAACAGAATATACAATATACATACCACGACATCTTGTCAAAACAAAATAAAAAAGATTTTTCACCTACCTACCTACTCGGGTACCACTGAAAGGAGAGTAGGTAAAGGGGAAACAAACAATTTTTTTACGGGTGGCCTAGGGGCTCTTTTAGATTGTGTAATGTTGGTGGGTTCAACTGTGTTCTCTCTACACATTTTGGATCGAGTTTTAACAGACTCCAGTTATCATTATATGGCAATAATAAATTGATACATTGATTTGGAATGATAGTAATCCAGAGTAGCTATTGTGATTGCTCTAATTCTATCATGTATTCAAAAGTAAGTTTCATACTTTCGGCAATTTACCGGCGCCAATGGCAGATCTTTCTTCTCCCAAGTGTAAAAAGCCATGAGTTGAATGACCGTGAAGTGTTTTCAAGTATTATAAGCCAGTTAGCGATTACACTTTGTATACGGCTTAGTTCGTGGCTTCATTCTTGTATGGTAAATTACAAAAGTAAGTCTCTTTCTTATCTTAGTAGGCCTATAGAAGCAAGTTACGAAATTCTTCGCATCCAGTATATTGCATAGTCAACAACCTCAGTAATACTAATAGTCTTGAGGGAACTAACCCAAAAAGTGTGGTATAGAGACCTGGACCTGTAGGTTGCCATTCTAATAAAGCGGTAGAAATATGCGAACTTGATTGTACACACTTATGTAAATTACCATGCATTATTGAATGTACGGTAATTCCGTTGATCTTTGTTCCATTTCTTGTCGTGT